GGAAGTTCCACTAAAGCCTGTCCAGCATCATAGCAACCGGCAAGCCTCCACTAACAGACGCGTGGTGGCTGCAAATGAAGTACATTGGCCGGCACTCAAACCTGGGTCTCTGCATGGAAGGTGAGAATTCTACCACTGAACCACTAGTGCCTTCATTCCTTATAATAAGTACTTCCTTTTCTTTCTCTATTCTACCTCCTTCTTTTTCTCTGATTTTCTACCCATTTTCTTTTTTTTCCTTCCTTTTTATTTTATTCCTTCCCATTCGTCAGAATACCTATTGATATCACAGTGCGTGTGTTCGTGAATTTGTAGCTACCACCTTAAATGGTTGGAGTTGGGGACACTGGATTGACTAGATCCTTTGGGAAGATTACAAGTATAAGCAGTGAATGTTCCATGGATTAGATTGTTCCTAAGATGTGCCCTGGTAGACATAGACAGAGGCATACTTTATAGGAAGCCCATCTTGAGGGCCTGTTTCTCTTTCTAAATATCTTGTTTATCTTATTTAGAATAGTTGAGCCTTCATGCTATTTAGCCTCAAAGCACAATCACTTGATATATATATTCAATATCAGAGCCACAATCAACTAAAACAAAACAAAATCTATTCATTAGCTTAGTTTAGAATGTGATGAAACAAATATTACTGTTAATACTGTTAAAACATTGATGTTTTGTTGATTAACTCTGATTTACTTTGGGAAAACTTTATGGAAGACACAATTTTTTTTTTTTTTTTTTTGCATTTGAAAGATTAGAAGGCTAAAATGGATAAAGTGATATGATATACATTTTCAAGCAAATGAAAATCACAAAGAGTATTACACCTTTTGCTAGCTTAGAGAGTATGGCCATCTGGTTAACTGTCTAATTTGCCTTAGCTTACTATGATAACTTTATCAAACAAGACTGCAATAACATGAATATGCTAGAACTCTTTAATAAAAGCCTGAATAAATCTGAACATAACCTTCAGTAGAATAATTCTAAAGTAGTTGATTTTCCTAATTGCCCCAAACAAAAAACCAAACCCATTGCTGTGGAGTCGATTCTAACTCACAGCGACCCTGTAGGACAGAGTAGATCTGCCCCCAGAGGGTTTCCAAGGCTGTACATTTTTACAGAAGCAGACAGCCACATCTTTCTCCCACGGAGCGGCTGGCGGGTTCCAACTGCTCATCTTCCGGTAGCAGCCGAGTGCATTAACCACTGCACCACGAGGGCTTCTTTTGCTTAACTGCAGGCTGATAAAACTAATCTTGAGAATCTTTCAGCACAGTAAAGACTTCTATGTCACTGCTCAGCTTGAGAAAGTGAGCTAATTACTGTGCTGGGAAACTTGATACGTCACTTTCTGAGGATAATGTCTCTGCCCACAGAATATTCAGAATGTAGATTGGTAAGCAGCATTTAGTTAAATGAAAATACAGTCCAGTTAAATGTCATTGCTACAATGTTGAGCTCGTAGTACCACATGTAAATGAGGAGGTCACTTGGTTAGACAGTGACTTTGAATGTGTAGGAGATCATCAGCAGTGCAATACTCCTATTCAGCCAGCTCTGCTGAAGTGTGCTTGTGGGCAGGGTGGGGAGGGATTCCCACAGTTAGCTCAGGTAAGATGCTGCTCAGATGCCTCTCAGAATTTGGGAATAAACTTCATAGACAGCCCAGACATTTTCTCCTTTTCTGTTGCTATTTGCTTTATTGATGATCAGTGCTTCTTCCATGAGGGTGAGGGAGGTGACAGAAGAAAAATTTCACAATAGCAAGTCTCATAATAACAGTTACTGCTTTTTTGAGAACTACTTGCCAGGCATTGGGCTAAGTACTTCAAGCTCATTGTTTCATTTAATCCTCACTAAACGAGGATAAGGTACTGTTACCTCCGTTTTCCAGATGTTACCGTATCTGTAAGTTAAGGTTGAAAAAACTGAGGCTTAGATAATTTAAGAAATTTGCCCAAGGTTACACAATATAAATGGCAAAGCCTAGATTCGATCTAGGTAAGTCTGATAGCAAAGCTTGAGGTGGGGGGAGTGGGGTCTTAACTACTGGGCTCTATTCTGTAACTCCTATTGCATGGGGGGTGTGATGAAATTAGGGAAGAGTAGCAAATCAAAACCACAATGGGATACCAATTTACACCCACTAAGATGAGGATTAAAAAAATAAAAAAGGAAAATAACAAGCATTAGTGAGGGCATGGAGAAACTGGAACCGCCGTACATTTACGGTGGGAATGTAAAATGGTGGAGCTGCTGTGGAAAACAGGTTGGCAACTTCAAGCCCAGATCTTGAAGGCCCTTGAATAATGGACTATAGAGCCCAGGTTTTATTTTGTGGGCAACAAGGAGCCACTGAAAGTTTTACCAGTTTCTAAGAAGGATAGTGACATAAGGTCTTCTTTAGAAAAGGCTGAATCTGCGATGGTGGATACGAGAATGGAGAAGAGAGGGCAGTTATAGAGATGAAAAGGAAGATTTAACAGGCCGCAGGGAACTGATTTGATGTTTGTTGAGTGCTTACAATGTCAATATATTAGTTCACTTAATCTTCACAAATCTATGAGGATTATAGAGGAGGAAATGGAAAGCAGAGAGGTCAATTAGCTTGCCCAAGGTGGGTCTGGTGGCGCAGTTGTTAAGTGCTCGGCTGCTAACCGAAAGGTTGATGGTTTGAACCTACCAGCTGCTCCGCAGGAGAAAAGACCTGGTGATCTGCTCCCATAAAGATGACAGCCTAGGAAACCTTATGGGAAAGTTCTACTCTGTCCTGTAGGGTCACTATGAGTCAGAATTGACTAGAAGGCAACAGGTTTTTAAGGTCACACAGCTATCAAGTCAGAGTGCCGGGATTAACCAGCAGAGTCCTCAGGCCTGCTTCCTTCTGCTTCCATAGTTGCCTTGGGTGATGGGGGTACAGGAGCATAGCAGTGGCACACACAATACATGGGACTGAGGAGGGAGAGGTCAGTTCTCCTAATAGTTCGCATCACTAATACTCTGATAAACTTACCAATGAAGACTGCAATGAGACCCAAAATTATGGAGGCTCCATTCTGTGGCTGAGGGTGAGCCTGTTGGAGACAGACCACAGCTTGAATTTTAGCCTCACCACCTAACAGTTTGGATTATTTAACCTCTTTGAGCAAATCACCCATTCTTTGTCTGTAAAATGATAATAATGATAATGCTAACAAACTGGGGATAATAATAACCGTTTTGCATAACTAGTACTGGAAGAATTAAATACTATAACGTGTAAAGTGCTTAGTGTGTAGGAAGTGTTTAATAAATATTAACTTCCTTCTCTCGCCTCAAGGAGTCCTGGTGGCACAGTGATTAAGCACTCGCTGCTAACCAAAATGTTGGCACAGTTCGAACCCACTAGCCACTTTGCGGGAGAAAGATATGGCAGTCTGTTTCCATAAAAATTTACAGCCTTGGAAACCCTATATAGGGTTGCTATGGGTGGGAATCTAGTCAGGCTCTCTCTCCTCATCCCCCAGTAAAGATCAAGCCTCTCTTTCCCCTGTGGAGGAATAGTTATTTTCTGTCTGAACCCTAACAGAAAACCCTTCTGTTTTAGTCAAAATTATTCTTGCTATCATCCTCATCCTCTTACCCCACCAACCAAAGTCCTCCTGGTTGTCTTCCTGAGGGTCCCTAATCTCTCGGGGCTGAACAGGTTCATATTAGTCTCTAGAGTTCTTCTCTTTCTCCTCCTCCTTCCTCTTCCTCTTCCTTTCCTTCTCCTTTTTCTATAGCTCCTTTTCCTAATTCTCTTCCTTCTCCTCCTCCTTTAAAAAAAAATTGAAATCATGGTATTCTAAAAAAGTCCTTATAAATCTCAACTTTACCCAGTAATGTTACCCCACCACAAATTTCTATGCTTCCTTCACTGCCCCCTCCCCTCCAGTGCTGCTCTCTGCCTTCTGTGTCCTCCTATGTAATCGTCGTGCAAAAAGGAGCACACTATAGTGAAAGCAACCAGCAGTCCTGAGTTCTACTCCCAGCTCCGCTTCCTGCTGCTAACATGACTGGATTCATAACCTCAATTGCCTCATTTGTATAATGCTGTCCCAATAATAATAATATCAACTTTGAGTTTTCTTGAAGATTGCATCAGTTAAAGTACTTATTTGGTGTCTGGTACATCAGCAGCAAAGGAGCCCTGGTGGTGCAATGGTTAAGCACTCAGCTGCTAATGGAAAGGTTGGTGGTTCAAACCCACCCAGCATCTCTGCTGGGTGATCTGCTTCTGTAGAGACTACAGCCAATAAAACCCTACGGAGCAGTTCTATTCTGTAACATTAGGGTCACCATGTGTTAGAATCAACTTGACAACAACCATCACCATCAGCAGCACTCATTAAACAATAGCTAGGAGTCCCTGGGTGTTGCAAATGGTTAACCGCTTGGCTACTAACCGAAAGGTTGGCGTTCAAATCCACCCAGCAGTACCTCGGAAGAAAAGGCCTAGTGATCTGCTTCCAAAAGGTCACACAGTCCTGGAAAACCCCATGGAGTGCAGTTCTACTCCAAAACGCTTGGGGTTGCCATGAGTTGGAATCGACTCTATGACAACTGGTTTGGCTTTTTTTTTAATAGCATCACTGTCATTACAGGGTTAAGAGACAAAGTGCGACAAAAATGTTCATTGCTATTTAGAAGTTGATTTCATCCCTCAAATCTCAAATACTTTAAGGACATGATGAGGAACTTTTTTAAGTGACAATATCCTTTTCCCAAAATCATCTGAGAAATGTCCTAACAGTGGAGAGCTGCTTCTAAGAAACTGGTTCCAGTACCGTTAACAAGTGGGAAAAGGGGTCTGGGGGGATTTCGGGTCAGCAAATGTCGAATGAGGGGATTTCCCATGGGGCCCCGCCCCCGGCTGAGTCACCAAAGCTGCCTGTGTCTAGCTTGCAGCTCTCCCCGAGCTGCAGAACACTTGCCGCTCTGAAGATCAAGGAGTGGAAAGTTCTCCACCAGCCCTGAGACCTCAAGGTTTGTCCTCTTGGGAAGGGTGGCAGTGGGGCGGTGGGGGGAGTGGGAACTGAGGTGAGGTGAGGATAGAAACTTTGTTCCCTTTCCACGTTTCCAGACTTTCTCCCCTTTTAATTTGTAATAACTTCTATTCAATAGCCTATTTAACGAAGATCAAGAAGCTGACCCTGAAATATTCTTTAATCCTCAGTTTATTTTTACCATATGAGCTTCAAATCTCAAAATGAGCAAATACATGTCCGTGTTTAAGAAACTATGATAATGAATTGGGCAGAGAGGTGTTTCAATATGTAGGCAATCAAGTGTTGAAACCTTCCACATGCTGCTCAGTCTAACAAGGAGTAGTAATAAGGAGATGTCTTCTTATGGAGGTGAGCTGTCAGATGCCACTGAGACTCTCTTTCTTGGGACTATATTTCAGGGGCAGCAAGTAACTGGCATTGTTGGAATCTCGACGCTAATCTATCTATGAAAGTATCTATGAAAGTCCCCAAAAGTTCTTGCTGTTGTTATTTCTGGATTTGGGCAGAACATGTTGGAAAGTGTCTTAGTTATCTAGTGCTGCTAGATACAGGTAGATGTAGGAATTTCTGTGATAAGATAAGCATGACTAAACACACAGCTTTGGGCAGGTTTGCCAAAGTTGAAGAGTACACTTTCTGTTATGGATTAAATTTTGTCACCCCAAAATATGTGTTGTAAATCCTAACCCCTATACCTGTTATAATCCCATTTGGGAATGGGTTTTCCTTGTTATGTTAATGAGGCAGTATTAGTGTAGAGTTTGTCTTGAGTCAATCTCTTTTGAGATATAAAAGGAGCAGATTAAAGAAGCAGAGATGGGGGAAAACAGATGCCATGCCAAATGAAGATCACCAAGGAGCCAAGGAACAGAAGATGAAAACAGACAAGGACCTTCCCCCAGAGCCAAAAGAGAGAGAAAGCCTTTTCCCTCATATCCTATTATTAATTGGTCCTGAAAGACCCTGAGTTCATGTCTTGTGGAATCATATAGGTAATGGTTGGAAAGAAAATAGTTCTGGAAGGAGATAACATCTCATTATCTGAAATTTTTACCTTTTGTAGAGTGACATTTGTGAAATCAGCTGGTTTGATTATTAAAACTTATTTGGAATCTGCTTTGCTAGTATCACATCCATGCAAGATTTCATCATGGGGAATGGCTATTACAACATGGTGGCAACAGTGCTCTTGGTCATGAACTTTGAGAGGACAGGAGCAGTGCAGGATTCCTGCAGAGACTGTCTAGCTGGTAAGAATCAAATTCACGTGTGCATTTGATCTGTCCTGTTGAAAATATGGCTCAGTTAGTCTAGCAGACAGGGCTAATGAGATCCCTTTTATCTTTTATTCACTCATTTACGAATATTTATTGGATAGTACATACTAGTTGTGTGAGCAGAGTCGTCACTTAACATCACCTGGGGATAATAAAGAACGTATCTCATAAGGTTGCTGGAAGGATCCTATGAAGGGTTTAGATGAGTGTATGGCCCATGGCAAGACCTCAATATACCTTGATATTGTCTACAGGTCTTGTGCTCTGACTGGAGGCACAGCAGGGAGTAAGCTGGGGCCAGAGGGCTTAACAGAGTGGGGAGAGCCAGACAAATTTAAATCTTAGTGTACAAATGACCAGCATTGGTCTCCTCCTGGATTCAATTAGCATTTCCCATGAATCACTCTGTTCCATTCAATAGACAAGGGAACTTATTTTTTCTGGTTGGTTTGTTGCAATACCTGTATTTTGTTATTGATAATTGTGTGATTATGCTGAAGGCAATCTTGTAAATGTGCAATTTCAAAAAGTCAACCAACAAAATAATGTCTATCATTGCAGCATCTAGAAAGCTAATAATTATTTTATATTCTAATTTTCTTATTTCTTACAAAATTTCATAATGCTTTGGGTGGTGGGTGTGTGTTGTTAAACATGTACAGCTATCATCTACCTTTCTTAGGTACTTTCTGTGGGAAGAACAAGACTCAGATTTGCATCCCTTGTCCTCAAAATAGTTTCTCCCGCACAAGTGGACAGAAAGACTGTGACATATGCAGGCGGTGTGAAGGTATGATTTACTATATGTATTCTTCATTTATTGGGAAGTCAAGCTTTGATTCCCTATGGTCCTTACCTCTGGAGTTTTGGGTGGTGCAAACGGTTAACGTGCTCAGCTGCTAACTGAAAGGTTGGAGATTCGAGTCCACCCAGAGGTGCCTCAGAAGAAAACAATCAGCCATTGCAAACCCTGCGGAGCACAGTTCTACTCTGACACACATGGGTTTGCCATGAGTTGGAATCAACTCAACGGCAACTGGTTGACTGGTGGTCCTGACTTCTATTAAAAGGCATAAGTGCCAAAGGTGCTGGTTCCTCTATCAACAGGCGGGCCCAGTAAAATAATTTACTACAATGACAATTATTTGGGGATTGAGCTTTTTAAATATTAGAGGAAACACTCATTTGACAAGGGAGAGGTTTTAATTAGCACAATGTAAACATGTTTTTTTCCAGAGATTGAAAAGTAAACGTTATACTCTAAGGTCATTAGTAACAATTATAATAGAGTAAACATGGATTTTATTGCAGAATTTTTCATCAAAAATTTGCTTCCTGAATGTGGAGGTCAAGTGTAATATAACTTTGGGGGGACTTTACAGGTGTTTTCAGGACCAAGAGGGCGTGCTCCCCGACCAGTGACACAGAGTGTGAGTGTGTTGCAGGATTCCACTGCTTGGGGGCAGGGTGCACCATGTGTCAACAGGACTGTAAACAAGGTCAAGAATTAACAAAAGAGGGTAGGTTTGCTCTTCTCCAATCTATTATATGTCGGCTATCTAGACCTGGAGCCTTGGTGGCGCAGTGGTTAAGAGCTCAGCTACCAACCAAAAGGTTGGCAGTTCAAATTTACCAGCCACTCCTTGGAAACCCTATGGGGCAGTTCTACTCTGTCCTATAGGGTGGCTATGAGTCAGAATCGACTCGAAGGTAATGGGTTATCTAGTCCTAATTCATTAGCTTTGGTCTTGATCCTTTGAATATAAAGTAAAAAAAAAAAAAAAAGAGTTTGCAGAAACTTAAAATTAAATAATGAACCACTGAGCCACCAAGTGTGTGACATTTTCAAAATTATTTTCCAATAAATAGAAATAATTTGAAATCAGAACATCTGTCATTCACCAGGACCATGCATTTTCATACATTTTATACATGTATAATACTCTGTGTACAATTAGAATGAAAACTTTAGTACATTTGTGTACATTGTATTAAATTAATGCTCTACTATGTTCATCATAGGTAAAGTTATGAAATGATGAAAGTGCTTCCTTTTTAATTATTCCTTTAATTTTTATGCAAGGTTGTAAAGACTGTTGCTTTGGGACATTTAATGATCAGAAAAATGGCATCTGTCAGCCCTGGACAAAGTATGTATTATATTAATTCCCTTCGGCTTGGAAAAGAATATGGATTAAGTATTTTTTTAAGACAAGGAATGCTACCCTTGAAGTTTTTTTATGTCTATCAAATGTTGACATAGTGTTGTTGTTGTCGTCTGACTCGTAGTAACCTTATGTACAACAGATGGTCCTGCGCCATCTTCAGCACTTTGTTGGACATTATTCTGTTGTAATCCATAAGGTTTTCAATGGCTTATTTTCAGAAGTAGATTGCCAGGTCTTTCTTCCTAGTCTATCTTTGTCTGGACTCACTGCTCGCACCTGTCCACCATGGGTGATTCTGCTGGTATTTGAAATACTGGTAGCATAGCTTCCAACATCACAGCAACACACAAGCCACCACAGTACAGCAAACTGACAAATAGGTAGTGGCATATAATAAGATACTAACAGGCAGCGTGGGAACAGTGAGAAGTGATGCAAAGTGGGTATTTACATGTTGCTGTTGTTGTTGTTAGGTGGTGTCGAGTTGCTTTTGACTTATAGTGACCCCACGTGACAGAGTAGAACTGCCCCATAGGGTTTTCTAGGCTATAAACTTTACATAAGCACATCATCAGTTTTTTCTCCTATGGAGCCACTGGGTGGGTTTGAACTTCCAGCCTTGCGGTTAGCAGCCAAGCGTTTAACCATTGTGCCACCAGGGCTCCTTTTGTTGCCTCTTATCTTCCCTCATTAACCAATCCATCCTCACGAGTCCAATGCCAGCAATGAGAATGATATGTGTGTTTCCTACCCTCAAAAAATAACGTGTACTTGGGCAAAGGGGACCACCACACTTAGTGAAACATCAACAGTATAAGAGAGAATGTTGCTATTGACTTGTGTGATCCCACCAGGGCTACTCAGTGTATGTTTTGTGGACAGGTCTGGCCCACGAATGCTGTACGTTTGTGGCAAGACTGATAGAGATGTGGAGAGCGAGCGTTTAGACAACTTTATGGCAGTTGATGGAGTCATTTTTTGTCTGTTAACTCTAATAATAAGACATTGGGCCTTCTATTTTGTCTGCCTTTGTTCTCTCTCTTCATTTAATTTTCCAGGGATTTGTTTTTATTATATTTTATAAAAGTATAGGTTCATAACAGATTGGAATTTTTTTTTTTAAAGGTCTTTCAATACAAATAGTTCAGAGTAGTCAAGTGAGTCTGCATGGAAAAGTGGGGTTTGAACTGGCTTTGGAGGATGGGTGGGATTTGGGTAGATAAAGGGGTAAAGGGAAAGACACAATAACAACCATAAAAATAATAATGGCGATGTCGTTGTTGTTAGAAGGTCCCTCCCTGGGTGGCACAGTTTGCTCTCAGCTACTAACCTAAAGGTTGGCAGTTCAAACTCACCCACTAGCATCACTAAAGAGAGGCTCGGCAATCTGCTTCCACAAAGATTACAGCCAAGAAAGCACTATGGAACACAGTTCTACTCTGTAACACATGGGGTTGCCATGAGTCAGAATCGACTCAATGGCAACGGGTTTGGCTTTTTGATTTTGGTTGTTAGTTGCTGTCGAGTTGGATAAAACCAAAAACCCACAGCCGTTGAATTGATTCCAACTCATAGCAACCCTATAGGACAGAGTAGAACTGCCCCATAATGTTTCCAAGCCTGTAAATCTTTACGGAAGCAGATTGCCACATCTTTCTCTCATGGAGCAGCTGGTGGCTTCAAACCACCAACCTCTGGTTAGCAGCCAAGCACTTTAACCATTGCATCACCAGGTCTCCTGTAGATTCAAATAGCTACCATTTATTGAGAGTGTCACTAGGACTCATTCATTTGCTCTTCATGACAGTCCTGGGAGCATGTACAGTCCTTGTTTTGTAGATGAGGAAACTGAGTCTTAGATTTTGTAACTTGCTCAAAGTCATTCTGCAAAGAGGGGAGCTAAGGCTCAAACCATGTCTATCTGTCTGTCTGAAACTCCTAAACCTATGCTAAGTTGTCTGTCCTTTTTATGTGCCAGCGATGTCCAAATATGATTAAGAAGTTGGGGGCAAGAGACAAACCAGGTAAAACAGCCTGTCCTCAGCTGTCGCGGGACAAGAAGGAGCCTGGTGTGGCTCCCTGCCTGGGAAGGAAGAAGAATCCAGTTAGGTGGGTAGAGTACGGAGGACTATGGAGAGCCTAGAAAGCTAAGTGAAAGCTGGAGGAAGCCAGATGGTCGAAAGGAAATTTATCAAAACATTTTCACATTGCCTGTGGGCTCAGCCCACACATCTTTACCACTAGTCAGTTTCATTGGGTGAAAAATGTCAATGTTCTTAAATTAGAATGATCTGTACCTGAATTACTTATTTGAACTTTTTCATTGGACTATTCCAGCTGTTCTTTGGATGGAAAGTCTGTACTTGTGAATGGGACGAAGGAAAGGGATGTGCTATGTGGACCACCTGCAGATAACTCCTCTCCAGATACATCCTCAGTCACTGTTCCTGCTCCCGGAAGTAAGCCAGGTAGCTGGTTTGTTGCTGTTACATCCAAGGGAATGTGTGATGGCTATCCTAGTTGGTGTCTAAACCACTTGGCTACCTTGATGCCCCATATCTGTGCCTACAGAGGCACTTCCGATGCCCCTTCCTTCTTTTACCCTGGCTTCATGGTAGCCATCAGTTCTTAAGTGTTTGCCATTCTCTTGGTCACAGGTACACATTAGAAAGCAGGGCAAGGTGAGACTTGACCCAAAAAGGTATTACACCTTTGTCAACAACAAGTAAAGGGGGCAGAAGGACCTCTGATGGAATCTGATGGCTGCCCCCTGACCTCCAGCAGAGTGGCCCCACAGTCTCCATTCCCCGGGCAAATATTCTTAAATATTTCCAGGCAAGAAGATACTTATTTCCTGTGATAATAACTTCTATATGTTAGACTAGACCAGTTGCCGTCAAGTCAACTCCTACTCGCGGCAATCCCGTGTGTCAGAGTAGGACTGTGCTCCGTGGGGTTTTCAGTGGCTGATTTTTCAAAGGGGACTGTCAGGCCTTTCTTCTGAGGCACATCTGGGTGGATTCAAACCTCCAACTTTTAGGTTAACAGCCAATCGCATTCACTGTTTCCACTACCCAAGGCCTTCTTCTGAAAAATCAGCCATTGAGAACGCTACGAGCACAGTCCTACTCTGACACACATGGTGATGCCATGAGTTGGAATGGACTCAATGGCAATTGGTTCCATATGTTAGAAAGGCCAAACCAATCTGAGAAAATTACTAAGAATTTTCTTTTTTTTTTTTTTAAGTTTCTTAACATGCAGACAAGTTTGCTAGATTGGAGATGCCTAAGGCATTCCCCTCGTGCTCAGGGGCTTATGAATGTAAATATAAACACAAGTATATTTGCATATATATACATTTCTGCATGCATTTCCTCTGTTCTTGTTTTCAAGATCACCATCCACAGATCAGCACCTTCTTTCTTGCACTAACATCGGCTGCCGTGTTGTTCCTGGTGTTCTTCTGCGTGCTCCGTTTCTCCGTTGCTAAATGGAGTAGAAAGAAACTCCTGTATATATTCAAGCAACGTAAGACTAACATGAAAGTATTAGATATGCGCTCTTATGAGGCAAGGCTTTTTATAGTAGAAAGGCCAATTTTTATTTTAAGTTACTGAAACTAGGTTAGTATAGCATAATGGTTATCAAGCAGATGCAATTTGGCAATGTCTGGAGACATTTCTTGTTTGTCATGACAGGGTGGGCGCTACTGACATCTAGTGGGTGGAGGCCAGGGCTGCTGCTAAATTGTTCAGCCCCAAAATGCCAGTAGTGCCAAGGCTGAGAAATCCTGGCTATTGTGGAACACATCCAAGGGTTCTAGAAAAGTGACGACTTAAGTAAGATGCAGTCTTGGGGGTGTGTGTGTGTGTGTGTGTTTTAAACCAGCTGGATGTACGTACTGGCAAAACGAAATCACTAAATAATCTTTCTACCACCCAGCACTGCTCCTCTGGCTGAAAATGGCCCTTAACCTGAGCTTAGACCCACAACTTGAGGAAGGAATAGAGAACTAGGAGGGAGTTTGAAATATGTTTAATGCGATGGATTATTATAACACCAATCTGGATTAAATGAAAAATTTTAATACTGGAATTCATTCATTTATTCATTAACCAAGATACTATTTCTATAAGGAAGCCAGCAAGTGCCTGGCAGGAGTCAGCCCTCATTAAACAAAAGTTTACCGATGGAGCAACCTGTTCTTTGTCTTTGTGGAGGACGGATAAGAGGCTAGACTTAAGAAATTAAATCCATATATAGAAGGAGCTTTCAAAGGGTAAAACTCTCACCTGAAACACCAGAACAAGACTGATGAGTGTCTATTTGGAGCTTGTTAAAAATACATGTGGGACAGCACTAGTAAAATCTTCTCTGAAGATATTTAAAGGTCCTTTTAAAGCAATATAAAATATTTTGTGTACTATGGTGAAATATACACAAAAGCACACAAATATAAAGTTTAACAAATTGTTGTATAACGAACACCCACATGACCCTACCTTGTTGCTAGTTGCTGTCAAGTCAAGAAATAGAACACTCTCTGCTCCCTGGAAGCCCTTGGTGCACCTGTTCCAGATTACAACCCTGCCTCCCACTAGGACTAATCACACCCAGATTTTTGTGGTTTTCATTTCCTTGCTCTTTATAGGTTCGTTACCTAACAACACAGTTTTGAACATCATACAAGTGGAATCATACTGCATACATTCTTCTGTATCTTGCTTCTTTGACTCAACATTCCATCTTTAAGATTCATCCATGAATTGTTTAATATCTTTAATTGATTTTCATTGCAGTATGCTATCCTATTGTATATCATAGTTTGTTAATTCTAATATTGATGGACATTTGGGTTGTCTCCAGTTTGGGGCCATTACAATGATGTATGAATATTTTTGTCCACGTATTTCAGCACATATAAGCACATTTCTTCCTCACCACCCCCCCCCCTTAGAAATAAAATTGCTGGGACATGAGGAATATGTATCTTGGTCCTTGGTGGATATACCAAACTATTTTCCAAAAATGGTTGGACTCCTTTACACTTTCCTAGCAGTATATGAGGATTTCTTTAGTTCCACATCCCTACTAGCATTCGATATTATCAGACTTTTAAAATTTTTTATCTATCTGGTGGGTGGATAGTGTATATCCTTGTGGTTTTAATTTGCATTTCTCTGATCACTAGTGAGGTTGAACACCTTTTTATGTTATGTTAGCCATCTGGATTTCCTCTCCTGCAAAGTGTCTGATTAGGTCTTTTGAGCATTTTCTATGGGGTTGTTTGTCCTTTTCGTATTAACTGATAGGAATTATTTAGTCTCTTGCTCATGTGCTGCAAATACCTTTTTTCCGCTCTGTGGTTTGCTCTTTCATTCTCTTTTTGAAGTCTAACCCTCTGTGTAATCTAATTTAAACCTCTAAACTTCTTTTCGGAGCCCTGGTGACAGAGTGATTAAGTGCTCAGCTGCTAACTGAAAGGTCAGTGATTCAAACCCACCACCGGCTCTGAGAAGGAAAAATGTGGCAGTCTGCTCTTGTAAAGATTACTGCCTTGGAAACCCTATGGGGCAGTTCTACTCTGTCCTATAGGATCAGTATGAATCGGGATCAACTCGATGGCAGTGGGTTTGTAAATTTCTTACCTAATTTAAACATCTCATCTCTGATTTAAAGGACTATCCATCCCATCCCCACCTTAAACTGTAACAAAGTTGTTTATAAAATGCTTTTCCCCAAAAGCGCTGATGAGTAATTAGTGAGTTGAAATGGAACTGTAATACGTTTTTTAATTTTTAGGTTATTTTTATTTTTTTTTTACCTTGAAATAATTATAGATTCACAGGAAGTTGCAAAGGCAGTGCAGAGAAGTCCCGTGTACCCTTCATGGGGTTATATCATATGTAACTATAGTATAATATCAAAACCAGGAAATTGACATTGACACATTGTGTGTGTATGGTTCCGTGTCATTTTATCACACGTGGATTTGTGTAACCATCACCGCAACCAAAATACAAAACTGTTCCATCACCACAAAGACCTCCCTCCTGCTACCCTTTTACAGCCACGCCCACCTCCTCTTCCCCCACCATCCCTAACCTGTGGCAACCACAGCCTGTTTTCCATTTCTATAATTTTGTTATTTCAGGTATGTTATATAAATGGAGTCATACGGCATAAGACCTTTGTAGACTGGCTTTTTTCACTCAGCATACTGCCCTTGAGAGCCATCCAAGTTGTTGTGTGTGTCAATAGCTCGTTCTGTTTTATTGATAAAGATTATTCCGTGGTATGATTATACACTAGTTTGTTTTACTGTTCATCTATTGGGAGAAATTTTGGTTGTTTCTAGTTTTGGGCTATTGCATGTGAAGCTGCTATGAATAATCATGTACAAGTTTTGTGTGGGCATGAGTTTTTATATCTCTAGGATAAATGCCCAGTGGTGCAATTGTAGTTTTTAAGAAACTGCAAAGCAATTTCCCAGAGTAGTTATACCATTTTACACCCCCACCAGCAACGTAGGAGAGATCCAGTTTCTCCACATTCTTGCCAACATTTGATATTGTCACTATTTTTTATTTTAGGCTTCTGATAGATACGTAGTGATAGCTCATCGTGATCTTAATTTGCATTTCCCTAATGGTTTAACATCTTTTCATGTGCTTTTTTGCCATCTGTAGTTCCTCTTGGGTGAAATGTTCCTTTATGTCTTTTGCCCGTGATTGTTTTTGTTTTTTACTATTGAGTTTTGAGAGTTCTGCATATATTCTGTAAGGAGCCCTGGTGGCGGGGAGGTTAAGAGCTCAGCTGCTAACCAAAAGGTTGGCAATTCGAATCTACCAGCCGTTCCTTGGAAACTTGATGGGGCAGTTCTACTTTGTCCTATAAGTTCGCTATGAGTCAGAATCGACTCAATGGCAACGGGTTTATATATTCTAGATATAAGTTCTTTGTTAGATATATGGTTTACAAATATTTTCTCCTGTTGTTGTTGTTGGTTGCCTTTGAATTGATTTCGACTCACAGTGATCCCATGTGTGCTGAGTGGAACTGCTCCATAGAGTTTTCAAGACTGTGATCCTTCAGAAGCAGATCAGCAGGCCTGTCTTCTGAGGTGCCTCTGAGTGGGTTTGAACTGCCAACCTTTTGGCTAGCAGTTGAGCACTTAACCACTTGGACCACCCAGCGACAAGTTCACCCTCTTAACAGGGTCTTCCACAGATAGAAAGTTTTTAATTTTGAGAAAGTCCAGTTTATCAATTTTTATTTCATTGATTTTCTTTATTGTTTTATGTTTTCACTTCCATTGGTTTCTGCTCTTATCTTTATTACTTCCTTCCTTCTGTTTGCTTTGGGTTTATTTTGCCTTTATTTTTCTACTGAAGTGGAAGTTTAGAATATTGATTTGAGACTTTTCGTCTATCCCAATGTAAGCATTTAATTTACAGGTTTCCACCTCAGCACTGCATTAGCTACATCCTCCAAACTTTGATTTTTTTTAAATTTTTATTCAGTTCATTTTTTTTTTTAATTTCCTTTGAGACTTTCTTTAATCCATGGATCATTTATAAGCATTTGGTTTCCAAGTGTTTGGAGATTTTCCTGTTTTCTTTCTGTTACTGATTTGTAGTTTAATTTCATTATGTCTAGAGAACACACTCTGTATGATTTCAATTCTTTTTAAATTTGTTAAAGTTTTTTTTTTATGGTCTAGGATATGGTTTATCTTTGCATATGTTCTGTGCGTGCTTGAAAGGAGTATGTATTCTGCTGTTGTTGGGTGGGGTGTTCTATAAATATTGATGAGATCCTGTGGTTGATGGTGTTGTTGAGTTCTTCCATATCCTTGCTCATTTTATGTGTAGTTCTATCAACTGTGGGATAGGGATGTTGAAATCTCTAAATATAATTGTAGGTTTGTCTATTTCTCTTTCAGTTCTGTCGGGTTTTGCTTCACATATTTTGCGGCTCTGTTATTTGTATATACACATTTATGATTGCTATGTCTTCTTGGTGAATTGACCCTTTGATAATTATTTAAGCCCCTCTGTGTCTGGTAATTTTCTTTGCTCTAAAGTCTACTTTATTTAGTATTAATATAGTCATTCCTACTTTCTTTTGATTCATGTTTACATGGTATACCTTTTTCCAGCCTTTTATTTTCAACCTACTTGAAAGTAGTTATATTTGAATTGACTTTCTTTGTATACAACATATAGTTGGGCCACTTTTTAAAAATTCACCCAACTAATCTGTCTTTTAATCAATGTATTTATACCATTTATATTTAATGTAATTATTGACATCTTAGGGCTTAAATCTGCTATTATCTTCTGTTTGTTCTCTCTGTTTTGTTTCGTTTTTTTCCTGGCTTCCTATGGGTAACTTGAACAATTTTTAGAATTTTGTTTTGATTTATCTGCAGTTTTTTTTTAAATGAGTGTATCTTTTTGTATAACTCTTTTAGTGGTTGCTGTAGGTATTACATTATATATACATAAGTTATCATAGTCTACTACTGTTGACATTTTACCAGTTTGAATGAAGTGTAGAAACCTCACCTCTCTTTACAGCTTTTTAACTGCTTCCAACTTATAATATACTTTTATTAAATAGTTCTTCTACATACATTGAGATCCATATTAGATAATGTTATCATTTTTGCTTCAACAATAAAACATAATTTAGAAAACTCAAGAGAAGAAAGGTCTATTGTTTTTGCCCATGTATTTGTTCTTTCCATTGTTCTTCTTCGTTCCTGATGTTCTAAGATTCCTTGTTTTATCATTTTCTTTCTGTTTAGAGAATTTCCTTTAGCATTCTTGTGGGGTGGGTTTGCTGCTGACAGATTCTCTTAGTTTTCTTTCATTGAGAATGACCTGATTTCCACTTCATTCCTGATAGATATTTTCACTGGATATAGAATTCTAGGTTGACAGTTCTTTTCTTTCAGCACTTGAAACATGTTGTGCCACTTCCTTCTGACCTCCATGGTTTCTGATGAGACATCCACTGTCATTTGAACTATTTTTCCCCTATAGGGAAGGTGTTGTTGCTCTCTCCCAATTTCAAGATTTTTTCTTTGTCTTTGTTTTTGGAAGTTTGACTATGATGTGTCTTGCTGTGGATTTCTTTGGGTTTATGTTGTTCATAGTTTCCTCACTTTCTTGAATCTGACGGCTTCATTTTTTCCAAATTAGGGAAAATTTCAGCCATTCTTTCTTCAGATACTTTTTCAACCCTATCCTCTTTTTCCTCTTCTTCTGGGATTCCAATGACACAAATATTAGATCTTTTGTTGTAGTCCCACATGTCTCTGAGGCTCTGTTCATTCTTTTTTTTTTTCCTTCATTCTTTTTTCTCTGATATTCAGATAAGGTAACAATTCTTTCTTCTATCCTCTCCATTCTGCTGTTAATCCCATTCATAGATTTTAAAAATTTTGATTATTTTAATTTTCAGTTCTTAAATTTCCATTTGGTTCTTCTTTATATCTCCTATTTCTTTCAGAGACTTTCTTTTCTTTTTTTTCCCACATGTGTTCCTAATTGCTTGTTGAAGCATTTTTATCATAGCTGCTTTAAAATCCTTTCCAGATAATTCTAACATCTGTGTCATCTAGGTGCTAGCATCTGCTGATTGTGTTTTCTCATTCAAATTGATATCTTCCAGTTCTTGGTATAACATAATTTTTTAATTAAAACCTGTATATTTCGGTATTATGTTATGAGACTGAGTGTAAATCTTGTATTTTGTCAGGCTTCCTCTGACACTGCTCCAGCAGAGGAATGAGGGTGCTGTCTTGTTACTGCCAGGTGAGGGTGGAAATTTAGGTTCTACACTAGACTTCCAGGGGTGGAGAGTGAGGGACTCCTTTTTAGTACTGGGTGTGTGTGGGCATTCAGGCTCCCCATTAGGCCTCTGCCAATACCATTCTGGCTGGGATAGGGATGGGCGCCTTGTTACCACTCCCCTGGTGGTCTCCATTGACATTCAAGGGGGTGGAGTGTGGTGGCCTCATTAATGACAGGTGATAGTGACAGTCCTGACTTTCCGCTAGGCCTCCTCTGATACTACCCCAGTGAGGAGAGGGAGGTGTGCCTTGTTACAGCCTGGTGAGGGTAGCAGTCTAGGCTCTATACTTGGCCTTTGCCAGTGGGCTTAGGGAGTGAAGCTGCCATTTTTTCTGTGGTGTTTGGCTGGAGTAGAGCAGTTATTGTCTAAAAGTTTTCTGTTTTGCTATGCTGCCCTTTTCCTGGTAGTATACAAGAGATAGCAAACTTTTCTTGGGGCTTTTTTTGTCTCTGCCCATTGACCTTTCTAGGTTGCTAGCTTCTACAGTTCTCAGCCTGAGCTATACGAAGCAGCAGGAAACCCAAGGGACTCATCCCTGTGTTGTTCCTTGGATCCTGAGGTCCCTAGCTGTTCTGCCTTCTTCTCTCCACTTTTCAGAGTCGTCTTATGTTTGTTTTATATGTAAGGTTCATAGTTTTTAGCTGTACTTAGCAGGAGGAATAGGGGAAAGCATGACTACTCCATCTTTCTGGAAGTGGATCTCCACTAATATCATTTCAAAAAAAAAGACATCTCATTGATATTTCTGAAAGTCTCTGCCAGACTTTCATAAGTTCTGGTGAGATAGTGCAGTTGTTGGGTTTTGGTTATTTTTTGTAGTAGCAAGCATGCGAAGTTGGGATAGGGCCTTTTGCTTTGTCAGACTATAAGGAAATACCTGCTTAGGATTGAAAAATGTTCAGCAATAACACAAATACTTCACACTAACAGGTAAAAGAGAACCTGGAAGTTAATGCATATCTTCATAATACATAAATTGGCTCTTATTAATAGATGGAGGTAGCAGGGATAGCTTTAAAATTTTGCTGCTGTAAGCATTTCATTCAAAACAAACTATCTAATATCTAATCTAAGTAACTCTGAAGACTAAAATTGTGCTGCTGAATTGAACCTGCAGTTCTTTTTGGTACATGGCTAATATTTTGTACTGTAGTGATTCATGCTCGCAATTTTTTAGCCACTTTTAGGAAAAAAAAAAAAGTAGTCTTTAAGAAACCAATAAAAAGTATTGGTAGAAGGAGATAAATCTTAAATAATCTTGAGGAAAAGCTCGTACTTGCTATTGCCTATCTTGTTGATGGCTTGTTAAAATAAAAGTTGAGAATGTTTGCTACTTAGTGATGTTCTGAGACTGTGATTTGTGAAAAATAATTGTTAAATGGTTAAAACAGACAACAAAATATAAGTACCTTTTAAATTACTTTTTTAGCATTTATAAAACCAGTGCAAACTGCCCAGGAGGAAGATGCCTGTAGCTGCCGATTTCCAGAAGAAGAAGAAGGAGACAGTGAACTATGAAGCAGAAATCCAAACAGCTGTTGGGACTCTCTTGAAAAGAAGCAAAGGAGAAATACAAGTGATCCCTCTACCACATCCTTTTAAAATGAAAACACCATCCTAGATAATACCTAGGACTACCCTCTGACAAGTTTTTTCTAAATGCTAAAGAGTTGGCCTTTAAAAATATACCACTTTTAACAGAACAGAAGGATGAGCCAGAGCTGGTAGTCAAAAGGCATATTCTAGATGCTACCTAACAAACTTGGACTAGTTTTTTTTGAACCCCAAAGAGAATTATATTTTAAATTTAATCATGTAGGCCCAATAGTTCTGCTAAAATTTTAATCAAAACCAATTCCATTTTTTTCTTTGTGCTAATACGGCTTGTGACAATAAGCCATAAAACATAGATCATTCTCAATCAAAATTTCCATTGGTTCCATCACTTAGGGCAATGACCTCTTCACTGCCATGGGGAGATTGGTAAGAGTGCCCTGATCTGGAGTCCAGGGAAAATAATCCCAAACCTCAAGGAAGAACATCTGAAAGTGTTCAAAGGTCTTTGTGTATCCTGTGGTCCTCTTCATACTCACACCTTCTGCCTTACTTCCATTCCCCTCTGAGCTAGGTCTTACATTTTTCATTCTTACAAGCTTTTTATATAATACATATGTTTTTATAATTTTATTTATTTTGTTGCTGCTGTTGAGAACATACACAGCAAAACATACACCGATTCAGTAGTTTCTACATGTACAATTCAGTGACATTGATTACATTCTTCAAGTTGTGCAACCATTCTCATCCTCTTTTTCTAAGTTGTTCCTCCTAGTTTGTTACGTAGTGCCTGGGGTCTTAAAAGCTTGCAAGCCACCATCCAAGGCATTACAACCGGTTTCTATTTGCCTAGAGCAACAGAGGAAGAAGGAGAGTCAGGAATAAGAGGAGGATGTGGAATGTGTGGCTAATTGCCTCCATGAACAACTGCCTCCTTTGCCATGAGACCAGAAGAACTGGATGGTGCCCAACTCTCATTACTGAACATTTTGATCAAAGATTCTTTAGAAGAATCCTGATAAAAAGGGGGAAAATGCAGAACAGAATTTCAAATTCTCAGCTTTTCTGGTGCCATGGAGGCTGAATGAACCCCAGAAACTATTGCCCTGAGCTAATCTTTAAACCTTAAACCAAAAATATCCCTTGAAGTCTTCTTAAAACCAAACAATAGTTTAGCTTAACTAGTAAAGAATTGTCTGCCTTGAACATTATTCTCTTTTAAGAACTATCTGTATGGGATCAAATTGACAACAGCAACTCGAAGGATTAGATAAGAACCTTAGGGAGCAATGTATTTTTATAAAATATTTAATACATTCAAACTAATATATAAAGCATGTTTGAAAGTTATGGAGCACACTAATAAAATTAACACCTGTGAGTCCAAATTTCAGCAATATTCTGAGAAAATAACTGCCTATAAGAAATTTAATGCAGTAAGAGGTATTCCTTTTTTTCTTCCTTAAAGAATTATTTTCTTATGCTTTGATATATGACATAATTATGTAAGTGTTCAGAAAATATTTGTTGATGGAAATACATTTTTATTTAAATAGATGAAGTACACCCATTTGACTTTTTCTTTACTATTTTGATAAAGAGTTCGTTATTATAGTAAAAGGTGAGGATAATATTTCGGGAGGATTTTTTTAACTTTCCAAGAAATCTTACCAAACCACATGAAAACATTTCTGTCGGGAGTAAGAAAGGGCAAAATACATCATACAGAACAATAACATCTGAAATTCGATTTGAATACCCATGACCTACTTTAGATGACCCATACTAGATCTTTGGGAGGAGTTTCTGGGTGGTGCAATTGGTTAAGTGCTTGACTGCTAACCAAAATGTTGGCAGTTAGAACCCACCCAGAGGCACCTTGGAAGACAGGCCTGCAAATCTACTCCTGAAAGGTCACAATTTTGAAAACCCTATAAAGTGTAGTTCTATTCTGCACACATGGGGTCTCCATGAATCAGAATCAACTCAATGGCAACTGGTTTTGTTTTGTTTTTTTTTTTAAAGATCTTTGGGTGAAGTTGTCTGATGTTTTAGGATCCTGAGAAGCCTCAGAGTCCTGTTGACCTGGTATTCTGGCAAGAATAAGGGAAAAATAATTGATGGTACAATCTTTTTAAAGCAGGAGGTTTGCAAAGCAAAGCTTGGGGAGTTTACCAGTGCCATTTCAGGAACACAGTTGTCCTTCCAAACCACAAGGCTATAAATTCTAAAGTTGTTGCCCCTCTCGGCTTAGGGCACAGGGTGTTTAATTCTCTGTTGCCCATTATCCACACACAGAAAAGGAACTGGTCACATCCCATAGACTCATGTTGGGAACATGCAAGAAAACTAAACTCTCATTTACCCTAGATTATAAACCAGAGGAAATCTATGGTTGATTCTGTTTGCCTGACAGAGGTTGTTTGTATTGCACAGACAGCATGATAATCTTTATTAGTAGTATATTTGAGTGTAAACGTTATACATGAAAAAACACAGGAACTTGGAGGATGAGTCATCACTCGCCTAAATGGCAGTTAACAAACAAAGAAAACTGAGACAGAATAAAATGACCACTCTTAGAGTTAATTTAGGAAATCCAATAATTAGGTTTAATAGAAATAGCTGTAAATTTTCTCTGATAAAAACGAATTTACAGATTTAGAGATACACAAGTTGGTAACAGGTTTCTAAAAAGCGTGAAAACAAAAGCTTAGGTTACTTCTGAAGCAAATTTTGATTTTCTTCTCTAGTGGAAGAAACTGATGGAACTTTTGATATGAGGGGCGTTTGACTACTAAAGTGGGCATCTTGTTCCTCTGCAGAGCAGATGTTTCCATATGTGGGTGGGATGTACGCACAGATCACAGCCACAATGGGTTGTGTGTGGTCTGTGCATGGTGGGGCTAAGAGAGTGATCACCACCAATGCCTTTACAAAGGACTCTACAGTAAAATACAAATCTACCATCTTCACAGGAAAGAAAAGCTATTTTTTTAAACTTTTAAAACATTTTTTAACTTGATGTTGTTGTTAGGTGCCGTTGAGTCGGACTGCCCTATAGGGTTTTCTTGACTGTAATCTTTACAGAAGCAGATTGCCAGGTCTTTCTCCTGTGAAGCTGCTGGGTGGGTTCAAAGTCATTTTGCCATCAGGGCTTCTTAACTTTCTGTTACAACTGCAAAATCAAATCATACATAAAGACTAGTAATAAAATAATATGCCGTTCTTTGTAAACAATGGAAGCTTAGACTATTTTGAGGTATGTTAAAGATTTAGTTAGGGATTTCTTTTGCTTTCCACAATGGACTTATTAGTCACATAAAAAGAATGCTGTTTTTATATATTGATTCAGATAGACTAGTTCAAATTAATTAAATCGTCGAGGCATTCCCAACAACATCTCTTTCATAAATTCATTGAAGAAGCTGGTTCTGAAACACAGTAACTCCTTCACTGAGCAAACATCCACCCTGTGCCAGGCACCTGTTAGGACAAAAGGCTCAAAGATGAAGGACCCACCGTCCCCCTGAGGGACGGACAAGTGCAACCTGACCAGTGCTGCAGGACGGTATAGACGGAGTTCTCAAAGAGGACTCTTCGTTTGACACAAAGCTATGGCAGACCTGCTATGTGCCAGACGTCAGGCTGGGCATTGGGAATACGGCTGTGACATGGAAGAGAGTAGCGGCCCTCCCTCTTGGAATGTTTAGGCTGGTAGAGGTAGCTGTATGCTAGGGAGCCTGTGTGCTTGTGGGGAAGCTAGGTGTTGGGAACACTCACACCAGAGGGGGGTGCTCCCTGGGATGATGAGGATCTGCAGGAGGAGTAGGAGATCCTCAGGCAGTGTGCTTCCTAGAAGGCACAAAGGGCTCTGGCAGATGGGAGAGAGGGCTGGGGCTGGGGGCCGAGGAGGGACGAAGGAAGCAGGGGCCAGATACCCAGATTTTATAAGCGAAGTTAAGACGCTCCAATTTAATTGGATAGGATTTGCATTTTAGGAAGATCTCCCTGACTACAGTGAGAAAAACAGATTCAACTAAGAAGCCGGGTCCAAAGGCTCTCCCAGGAATCTAGGGGGAGATGCAGTCGTGAGAGAGGAGAGCCGGGGAGGGGACTGAGTTGGGGAAGGTGGAGGATTGGACCCTGGTCTCAGGCTTGGGCAGCTAGAAAGGGGGCAGTGGTACCCTTCTCAGAGCCAAGGAAACCTGGAGGAAGAGCTGGGGGAGGCCAGGAGAGGCCAACCAGTGTCACACTGGACCCTGTAGGATGCCCAGTGGAGGGTGACTGAGGCCAGGAGGGCACTGAGGTCACAAGCAGAGCCCGGGGGTGGCCAGAGTAACCCGAGGCCGTGTGGGGGTTGGAGGAAGTAGAATGGCATCACAGAGGCCAAGTGTCTCCAGAATCCACCAGACCAGAGACAATAGCCAGGGCTAAGGCCATTGAGAAGCCAGGGAGATGACAGCCAAAATGTGCAACAAGGCAGTCACCTTGACAAAAGCCCTTTCAGAGGGGTGTTAACCATGACAGCCTGACTGTGGGGGACTGAGGAACCATGGGATATGACAATGGTGACAGTAAGTGGACTCAAACTGTGCAGCCAAGGTCTGAGGTCAGCAAGAAAGACGCTACTCCTACAGGCACTGGTTGGAATAACACTACTCACTGATAACGAATCAGTCCCCCATGGCCAGCGGATCTCACCTGGCAGCTGACGCAGGGCTGGTGGTCTACACACGCCCCTCTTCCGTGCTGCAGGTGAAGGACCCTGTTCCCACACTGCCGTGAACAAAAATAGGGGTTGGCCAGGTGCCGTATGATACACATGCTGAATCAGGAAACAGTACAAAGAAGATTTACTGTGTACTCAGAACAAGGAAGGAGTTTCTCTGATAAGGAAGAAGAAAGTGGGACAGAGGTAGGCACAGCCTCCAGTCTCCACTATCTGGGAATGTTCCAGGCCCAGGCTCTGATTAGGTGGGCCAGGTGAGGGTTGGAAGGCCACACAATAGATGGCTTTCCCAACACAAACCCTTCCAAAGTTTCGTAGTGAAAGAAAAAAGACAGAGTGAGAACTGGAGGGCCACGTGGGGCCTCAAGGTAGCTGTCAGGTAAAATATAGGACATCCAGTTAAATTAAAATGTCAGGTAAACAGCAGAGAGTTCTTTTGTTTTGTTTTAGTATAAGTGTGTCCTGTGCAATATTTGGGACATACTTATACTAAAGAATTATTCATTGTTTACCTGAAATTCAAATTTAACTGGCATCCTGTATTTTTATTTGCTTTATCTGGCAACCCTAGTTAAGGGTCCCTGGGTGGCACAAATGGTTTGAATTCAGCTGATAACCAAAAGGTTGGTGGTTTGAATCCACCCACCCACCGGTGCCATAGAAGAAAGGCCTGGCGATCTAC